GATGGGCGTACAAACTGCTGCTGCACCTGAACAAATTTCCACTCAGGCCGAAAAGGTTGTTGCAGATAGCAGCGATGCAGCTCAGAAACCTATTGGTGATGGTGCTGCTTCATCTTCTCACGGACATGACTTCTTGTCAAATCTTCTTCACAGTTCCGCCAAGGCTAAGCCTAAGCCTGGAGACGCTGTTCGAGGTGGAGAAGACTTTGAGTCTGAGATTGGAAAAGGTAAGATCCTTTCTCGTTACTCTGCTCATTCGGTGATTTTCTAACAGCATTTCAAGCATCTAAAGCTCCTGCCACCGCAGGACCAATCAAATACCGCGAATACATTGCCAATATTCGTGCTCCTAAACATATTCTCCATCAAACCTATCGCGTCCGAATCTTCCTTGGAGATTTCAATTCCGATCCTGCAACTTGGGTATGTGCTTATTCATCTCCCTTCTCATCTCCCCCTCGCAAACTTCTCCGTCTCATCAAACTAACCAAACTCCCAGGCAACCGAACAATCCACCATTGGCACCTTCTCTTCCTTTGGTAAAAATCCCGAAACCACCGGCTGCGGAAAATGCATCAAGGACGAAGCACGCTCCCTCATGATTTCCGGCACCGTCCCTTTAACCCCCATCCTCCTCAAACTGTACAAAAATGGCGATCTCGGATCTCTCGAAACCGAGAATGTCATTCCGTATTTGAGAAAAAATCTCCATTGGAGAGTTACGCTAGCTGATGGGACTGAGATTGACAGGGGAAATGTCGAAGGACTTAAGATTAGTGTGGTGAGTACCGAGGTGAAGTGTGCACAAGGAGGATTCCCGGAATATAGTGGGGAGTATGAGGTGCATAGCGAGGTTACGGGAGGGAGACCGGCAGGTTTGGGAGAGGGAGATAGGATTTAGGGCTTTTGTGGGTGGTGAGTGGTAGGTGATTGGGGAAATGGGAAATTGACAGTATTTCTTTCTTTTTAGCTAGTTTCAAAATGCAAATGTTCTCTTTTTTATCATCTTCGATTTCATTGCTTTCCGTGATTTTGATACCGGCAGGCAATATTGAGGTTGGGCTGGAGTTTGAGGTGACTTACGACGTATTGCTGCTTTCGTGACACATATCGATATCACCATCGTCAATAGTAAAATGCGGATGAGCGAGGTTGAGTTGTTGGACTTAGCAGCCAAGAATTCAATAGCCTTTCGTACTCAGCCTAGAGTTGATGGTTTTTCCATTCAACATTGACTTGTACTTCCGCTGTATTAACAAGGAAAATTGGGCTTGAGAGATCATCTTTCAGGGCCTCAAGGTATAAGTTGGTACAACAACACAAAGTTAAGAATAACACTCCCAAGAGAATCGATTCCGAACATGAGTAATGGATATCAACTTCGAGGTCGACTTCCATCATACTTCTATTTCGTCCCAAGGGGTTCCGTGAAACTGCAGCAAAAGCAGTAAGAAGACTACCGCAGTAACGGATTGCATGTGAATCACCTGAAATAACACTGCTAGCTTGAATTTTGCTATATTTCACAACCCGAATAACTTAGGAATCTTTCCCAATGATCCAAATCTTCCACTATTCTCCTCAACTTATTTTCCATGGTCTTTTATGAACATATAGATAGATGGTAATCTGATAAGCTAGGTGTAAGAATGGGATGTATCAGCATCTCCGTCAATCGCTATAGCTAGGGACTAATGATGTCTCTGCGGCCTATATGGGAAAGAGGAAGGTAGAATTTTAGCTCCGCAGCATCGAGCCATACCCAGATATCTATGTATATCTCGAGCCTCACTGGAGGGATCGGGATCGGGAATGGAATTGGAAATAGGAATCTGGACTGCCGAACGTTCTTGGCATAGAATGTAGCTTCGGTGGAACCAGATTTAAGACTGAAAATATATCAGGGTCTTTTCCTTCTTCTAACTTGGACGAAATATATTGTTTGTTCTGATTTGTATTTTTAAAGAAGCTGGATGGACAGAATATGAAGCACAAACATGTAAAGTCAAGAAGTATCCGACAACATTTTTAACAACATAGAACATGATTTCATCACAAATTGTCGAAGGCAATCATAGAAAAACTCGGGCTGTGACAAGGACACACTTGGAATCTGTGACAAAATGAACCATTACGTCCATGGCCAAAAGAAAATCGCCACTGTATTTGAGGCATAAGATTGGTGTGGTAACTTTGGAAGCCGTGTTCAAATGTGGGTAGCAGTTTGAAAGCAAGTATGTAGTTTTCATCGTTTCCCTCTCCAACTGATCTCTCAAATATAAGTCAGCAGCCACAAGTAATATCATAGATTATTTTTCTGGGATCTATGAGGAGAGCATTTAGCAGACTTATTTTGGAGAGATGGAATAAAGGGGTTATAGATTCATGGCGAGCGAGCAGCATCTTCGCCTGTGTAACCATCACGTGGCACCGAAGCTAGACGCCATGAAATCTGTGTTTTGGACAATATCTTGAGGGTGGTGAATGCATATTCAAGCTCTATATATGGCATCCGACATCTTAGCGACCCTAGCTAACTTCCCTACAGAATGTACTCTCACTATGTCAGCTCCGCCTTGAATAGCTGCAGTCACTGTCGCCGCAGTACCCCAATCTCTTTCGCTTGGGCTATCGACTCCAGTGATTTTACCAATAAACTTCTTTCGACTGGCCCCTAATAACCACGGCAAGCCCTGTAGGCCGGGCCAATCACGTAATTCATCCATCCGACGAAGTATTTCGAGATTCTGATTTTGTGTCTTCGCAAATCCAATTCCAGGATCTAGAATTATGCGCCATCGCCGAATACCAGCAGCCTCTGCTTCTGCTACTCGCTCTAATAGCTCGTTTGCAATGGTTGGGATGAGGCCCTCAGGCTCATAGTCTGTGAGAGTCGTCATAGTTGCTGGCGTTCCTCTCATGTGCATAAGACATACGGTTTTTCCGAGTTGGGCCATGGTAGATAGCATATCAGGATCAAGTTGACCTGAAGAAACATCATTAATGATATCCGCGCCTGCTTCAACAGCAGCCCTAGCTACAGATGCCCTATAAGTATCGATACTAATTGCTACGTTCTTGGGTGATTTGGTATTTCTAATCTCTTGAATAGCCGGTAAGATGCGACTTATTTCTACCTCAGAAGATACTTCAGGAGCACCTGGTGCGGTTGATTGACCACCAACATCAATGATAGTTGCTCCGAATCCAATCAATTGTGAGGATTTGGCTCGTAGAAAATTTCGCTCATTGAGATTTTCGCCTCCATCGGAGAAAGAGTCGGGTGTCATATTCAGAATTGCCATTACATGGGTCTGGCGGTTCTTTTTAAGAGCATGCAATGAACCAATGGATGGATGTAATGGAGTTATGGTAGATAAAGGGGTCGGGGATGGCGGCAATTCATTTAGATAATCCTGGGTAAACTTCCATGGAGTTTTCGGATTCAAAGGTTGTCCAGGAATAAGCCTATAACCATATGAGCGACAATTAGTCAACGAAATTGAGGGCTCGTAATTACTCTGCCAGTGGTCTCAAAACAAACTCCCGCTCAACCATACCAGGATGAGGTATTTGTAACCTTGGGTGATCTACAACCTCATTCTCGTAAAGTAGAATGTCAAGGTCAATGTTTCTTGGTCCTTTGTCAATAATCTTCATTCGACCCATCTCATTCTCAATAGCTTGAAGCTCGTTTAATAGAGCAATTGGTTCCAAGGTTGTTTCTACCTATAGATTCCTATTAGCTAGATTTCTTGAAATCTTTGGGGTTTTGATGAACCTGTTTCATCTGACCTTGGACTTGACATTCAAAAGTGCGGCTGATCAATAACCGCAATCATGATGATTACCGTTCAAACTTGGTAGACATGTACAATTCCAAAAGTACAATATGTATAATCACGTGGTATAAATTGACACCAAGTCAATGCGAAAGTAGAACTCACCTCACAAGCACCATTTAAAAAATTCTCTTGATCAAGAACGTACATGGGTTCAGTTTCCCATAAACCACTCGTTCTCTTGACTTTGATGCCCCTCTCCGACATTTTGTTGCAAGCCATTTCGATCCATCCTACTCGATCACCAAGGTTACTACCCAAAGCAATATATGCAAGTCGAGGTTGACTTTGAGATTTGGAAAGCTGTGTCACATCATTTTCACTAGGTGAATTGGTATTAAGAGGATGTTGAGTCCATGGAAGTGGTGATGAGACTGCACTGTCGGAGCTATAGCTTCGAGATGTCAAAGATGCGAAGCTCTTGGCTTTACACACTGCCTGGAAAGGTCTTTTGATAAACGGACGTGGTAAATTCACACTCCGCCTCACCACGGATGATAATAGAGAGCCCCTCATCGGTGTAGTGTTCTCTCTTCCTTAGAGATATAGATCATCGAATCAAATGAAGAAACTTGAAGTTTGAAAGAAGCAGCGCAGCTCTGTTGATAGTGGTCAAATGGGTTACCGTATTCGCGGACCACGGCGCATTTTGAAAGTTCTAAAGATAATATATTATGATCAACCATGATATTCATTCTTGAGCCGAGAACCTTATAACCTGCAGTTGTATACGGAGGACACCAGAAGTTTAATAGGAGATACATATTGAATCGTCATGCTTGAAGATTATATAAACCAACATCAATTCAAACAGAGAAGTAACCATTGCATACATCCAATTCCGGTTCCATTCAACAACATGGCGCATACTGGAAACATCGCACGTGCATGCATGCAGGTCCAAGAAAAGGCTAACCCGACGCTAACAATCAAACCGAGGCATCTTTTTATTACACCGGGCTTTTACCCCAGATGAATCCTTTCTTTTTTGAGGATCAAGTGTTCCGAGGTCTGTAAGAATCTCCTCAAATAATCCACCTGTTCTTCTTTCACAACATATTGCTCTTCACTATTGATTGATCGTTTTTCAAATCTCATATCTTCATCTCATAATATAATACACAGAGCCATATCTATATACACAAGAATATAGCAACCATGGCTTCTAAACGTAAGTAACCAGCCATCACATGCCAGCTAGGAAACAATGCCAAATAGAAGGAATCAACAACTGACTGGCCTTCCCTATAGAACAACTCCGCACAACGGTCACTGATCTTCTTAAGATCAATCATCCTATCATCCTCGCTGGAATGAACGTTGCTGCCGGACCTAAACTCGCAGCTGCTGTAACAAATGCCGGTGGTCTCGGTGTTCTAGGAGGTATCGGATACACTCCAGATATGTTGAGAGAGCAAATCGCGGAACTCAAGTCATTTTTGGACGATCAAAACGCTCCCTTTGGTGTTGATCTCTTACTCCCACAAGTTGGAGGATCTGCGAGAAAGACAAAGTAAGTTTGAGTTACATTTCTTTCCTTCTCCTTTGCCACCAATTTCTCTACTACACCCCCCCTCTCAGATTGATACATAGTTGCTGACATAGTTTTCCCTTAGCTACGATTATACCAAAGGAAAATTAGACGAGCTCATTACCATTATCATCGAGAGCGGTGCCAAACTCTTTGTTTCCGCCGTCGGTGTACCACCAAAACATGTCGTTGAACGGCTACACAAAGCTGGTATTCTTTATGCCAACATGATCGGACATCCAAAACATGTTAAGAAATGCCTCGACCTCGGTGTTGATATTATTTGCGCACAAGGTGGAGAGGGTGGTGGACACACCGGAGACGTTCCTACAACTGTCTTGATCCCAGCAGTTGTCGACCTCTGCAAGGGAAAGACCAGTCCAATGACTGGAAAGCCTGTTCAAGTTGTCGCCGCAGGAGGTATTTTCAACGGGGCAACTGTTGCCGCAGCTTTAATGTTGGGCGCAAGTGCCGTGTGGGTTGGTACCAGATTCATATTGACCGATGAGGCCGGTGCACCAAAGGCTCACCAAGAGGCTGTGAGAACCGCTGGTCATGATGACAATGTTCGAACTATCATCTTCACTGGTAGACCATTACGGGTACGAACCAACAGTTATATTCAGAACTGGGAAGAGAACCGTGCTGCCGAGATCAAGGAACTCACATCCAAGGGTGTGATTCCAGTTGAACATGATTTCGAGACTCTCGGTGATGATATTGATGATGAGACTATGGATAACGCACGACCTTTCTTGATGGGTAAAGCGGCTGCTGTTGTCAATGAGAAGAAGAGTGCCAAGGCCGTTGTTGATGAATTGGTTAGCGATGCTGTAGCATGCATTCACAAGGGGGAGAAATTGACAGCGAAGTTGTAAATAATTGTACCTATCCATTGATATGATGGGACAATGGACGGAGTTGATGAGGTCGATATCATGGGATGATTCGCGTGAAGGCACGTTGGATCAAGGTGGCTGACTCGGCTACGAATGAGGTGATGAGTACTCGATTATTTTAGACTGCATAGCGTGGTAATTGAGTAGCTAGTATTGTTTTTGCATCAAGGATTTGGGCAGAAGGGAGAATTGAAATTTTTGAGACATTGGATTGCAAGGGGATTGAGTTTGATATATCTATCTATTTGCGGTTACAATAACATGGAGCTTTTATTATTTCAACAACAATGATTGTACTGTGTGTGCTGTGTGTGCTGTGTGTGGTTGAAGAAGATGTTTGTTCGGGATGCAAATAATTCAACTCTCTCTATCTATTAATCACTTCATATGGGTAACCACGTGCGAATTTTGTGCGAACTATAGATTATTGTATTCGGATGACATCGAAGTAGACTTATCACCTATATCATGAAATCTACGATAGACAGTTAATAAGTATATCAATCTAATAAGTACCAAATCCGACCGTACGATCTCATGTACTGGACTGGATCCTTCACCGACGCACTGATGGTAAGATTGTAGGTAGATAGGTGGGTAGGTGAGTCGATAGTTTTGAGAAATTGAAACGTCCTAGAAACACATTGGTATCATATCATATCCGATGTGATCTGATCTGATCTCTGATTTGATGCGATCTATGTGCATGATAGAGATTGATGATAAAGTAATAATCGGCTGCTTGGAAGAGCCGACTATCGATATCTTTTCTAGTTATTAATGAACGAATGAATGTACAAAGTATACCTACCGACACTACCTTGGTGGCTAGGACACTCACATATATTAAACGAGGGTAGGCCAAAGTTAGATGTGCAACAATTGACAACGAAAGAATGTGATGGGAATATCATGTGATTGTGATTGTGATTTCATGAGAACCTACTAGGTACCTAGGTCCTAGGTAGAGATAGATCTGTACTACCTAGTATACCGATAACTCGATGATTTTTCAGATGAAGCTATTTGCTTACGACTGGAAAAGGCCACAAAGCTAATGGCCGATCGATGGCTATGTAGTATGCAGTGTGTATAAGCATTATGTATAAGTAGGTACTGGTAATAGTATCTATCTATCTACCTAGTACGAGTATGTATGATTTCAAATATCTTTCCTCGATGATGACTACTCTTCTGCCATACGCATTCCAAGAAATTACGCGTCTCGAAGGCTTTTCTTTGTACAGTCTACTATCTACCATCTACAATCTACCATCTACTCTACTCCGTACAAATGGAGTTTACGGACTAAAAAGTATGCAAACCCCATCACTCCATCACTCACTCCATCCATCATTCCATCATTCACTCCATTTTTATTCTTCCCATTCTTCCCATTCTTCCACGGCATTGGTTGGATCAAACTTCAAAGCCATTCAAGCAAAAGATGGCAGGGCCGGACAAGACAAGGTCATCACGGATCCACCGATCCTCCGGCTGACTTAATGTAATGGGCAACTATGACGTTTAGCGTGTATCGCAAAATTGAACATGGAGATTCTCTGACCTTGCCTTGCTTGGCCGGCTGGTAAAGAATAAAATGTAGGTAGCTAAAATGCGCGAGAGGTGTGCTTAGACTTTTGGATTTTTTCTTTTCTTCTCTTTTCTTCTCTTTGCTTTGATCTTGTGTCCTCCTATCCCGTCGTATCTTGTCTTTTTAGATAAATCTGGATAACCTCAATTGTTCCAATAAAGAGTCTTCGGTCTATCATTGAAGGGTGGAACTTGAGAAGTTGCTTTACTTGCTCGTGCTCCCATTTCATATACACATCATCTCACCTGCCAATATCGAAGCGCCTTCTGGTGTTGGTTGGAAATCGGAATTCAGAGGCGGAAATATCAAAACTCAGTCAACTCAATCACAATTTTACTACAAATCAATTGAATACCTTTTCTCAACTGGCAACCACATATAATCCATCAAAATGTTTGGAATATCATATTGGATGATACCTGTCTTTTCAGGAATGGTATGGCTTGCGATGCTCTTGGCCATGCTGTTGACCTGGGCAGTCGCAGATGGCTCACCAATAATTACACCTATGGATAATGGTCAAACTATTGCGTAAGTGATTCTCTTTCTCGCCAACCTCAAGATATCTATTCTAACATTTTCATGCAGATATATCTCAGATATCGGAGCCCATGAACTTCAACCACTCTTTATTGCTATGGGTACCGTAACCATGGTTACTTTCAATATGGTCTTTATTGCGGAGAGATGGTTACGACACAATGGTCGTTTACATGGAAACACCTCCATCTTCCAAAAAGTATTATCGGGCCTTGCTATTGTCTTTTCCGTTGCAGGTGGAATCGGTTTGATCTGTCTTACATGTCTCAATGATGTGGACCACCACACTGCACACGACATTTGTCTAGCTATTTTTATGTAAGCTTCCTCCTCTCCCACCCTCACATGGAGAATGAACTAACAATTTATCAGCGGTGGTTACATCCTTTCTGCCGTCTTCATCTGCTGGGAATACCAACGTCTCGGCATCCACTACCGTGAACACAGCGTCCTACGCATCTCCTTCTGGGTCAAACTTGCCTTCATCTTTGTCGAATTAGGTCTCGCCATCGGATTCGGTGTGTGCAACCGTAAATCTTGGTGGAACACTGCTGCCATCCTTGAATGGATCATCGCATTGATTTACACATTCTACGTTTGGAGTTTCGCAATCGATTTCATCCCAGCCATCAGAACAAAACATTACCAGAGCAAAGACACCGAAGCCGAGATGGCAATGGCGATGGATGTTGAGAGTAGACAGAGAGGGCATCATGGAGCTGCCGATGAACAAAGAGCGTATGGGAGTGCGGAAAGCAGTGGACACGGAAGATACAATCCTGAGCCTGTCGTTCCGGCGAGGAACTTCTAGATTCGTTGTTTTGTGAAGGAACGAATATGCATGATGACTTGTTTATACGAAAAGACTAAAGATGTTGAGATTTCGAACCAGACGAACGAATGGAGGAATGTATCATAGAAAGATGGATAGATGCATTTTATACCCGGGGGAAGATATGGCATCGGTTGGAGTGGTTGATTTGGTAGCTGGCGCTTGGAGTTATGAAGCATTTATGATTGCATGCATGCATATATGGAGATTTGGATTAGAGTGAGCAAGATGCTTAATGTCGATAATGTTAGATGAGATGTAATTATGAATAAAAGTATATATTTATCCAAGATTTCTCTTTTGTACTTAGGCGAGGTTGTAGTGGTACGGAGTCTAGATAAGTATCTATGTGAATTTATTTTTATAGCGGATATAAAGTATGTTAATAATTGAAAGAATGAGAGTTTATGACTTTCTATACATATAGTTCCTCTACTATATTGTTGATTTTAATATACGTAGATATTTATTATATTATATATTATCAGAGAAAGAAAAAGATATATTCAAATATATATAGGAGGAGAATATATATATAAACATATAAATCATATATAGAAAATTATATATTTCGTTTACTTCTAGACTTTAGATGGGGATGGATTATTATTTATATTTGTATTTATTTGTAATTATTTATATTTATTTATATTTATTTATATTAATTAATTTATTTATATTTATTTATACTTGTTTATACTTGTTTATACTTATTTATACTTATTTATACTTATTTATACTTATTTATACTTATTTATACTTATTTATACTTATTTATACTTATTTATACTTATTTATACTTATTTATATTTATTTACATTTATTTATTTTCCCTTTATTCCTCTTCTCTTTATATACAAATGAGGGGATAGTATAAGTAAAGAGTTGAATAGATAGATAAGTGAATGGGTTATTGATATTAGTATTGATATTAGTATTAGTATTATCTAACTTTTGAAATAAATTTTGGGATGAATTGAATAGGGTGAGGTTGTAGGTTGAGCGTTTAGATATATATATGCATGCGTATATACTATACTATGTATTTACTCTTCTCTCCTCGATTTATTCGGGTATGATATAGTGTGATATATTGTAATGATGCGATAATGGTTTCTTTACAATATAATATAGTAGCAGTTTCCTTTTACTTCTTCTAATCCTTGGTATTGTATTTAATATGCACTGATGACTTTTCAAACTTTGAGATGAGTGTCACAGCATGGATTCAGTCTGGAATTGTAGGTTGTGAATTGTTGGGATGGGTTATGTTTTTGAAAGAAGGGGGGTTGCTGTGTCAAATTGGTAGGATTTTAAGGGATACTTGGAGAGGGTGTCTTTATTGGGTGGTATTGATGGATGTATTGTATTTGATATTTAGATTATATTTGATATTGAAAGAAGATGCAGCGTGACTCCTGTATGAGATCTCGAGATGAGAATCTGTGGATATAGGTTCGTATTGAATAAGAAGGTGGACTTATCATGGTTACTTTACGAGTATGAGTGATCTTTTTAGCTGCCTGTGGGGATGATGTTGTTGTTGGAGGTTCAGTTTGATAGATTGAAAGTTGTAGAGAGATTGAAGAGCTTGATATCATAATTGCGATGGAGATACAGTATAGCGGGCTGTTGATCAGTATCTGGAATAATTTTCTTTATCTTCGTGCTCCTACCACTGCGGTTGTTTTTGGGGTTCCTGCGATAGAATGCGATCATGTAAAGAAAGGCATTAGATGAAAAATAATACACTTTCCTGCATTCTTCCGCAGCTGGAATATCGTCTGTACAACCCCTATCTCTATCTGCTGAGGATATCCGTACTTATTCTCGATCTACTAGCTCGAAAGTCTCCCCAATCTCTGTTCTACTAATCTCTACTTTTCTGTTGCTCTGTTCTATCGAAGATATAGCAGGATGAACACACAGCAGGATTGTCATAGAATAGATAAGTAGGCAGAGGAGCGAGCAGATATGGCACGGGCAAGCAGCTAGAGAATAAAATAACAGAGA